TTATACGCCACCACCTAGCAGAGAGCCTTAAGAATCAGTACCTTACTATCGAGGATCCTCTCGATCTTTGGGTCGAGTTGAAAAACCGATACGATCACCAAAAGACGGTACTCTTACCGAAAGCCTAATATGATTGGAAAAACCTCAGGATCCAGGATTTCAAATCCGTGGAGGAGTATAACTCCGAGCTTTTTAAGATTGTCTCAATCCTGAGGTTATGTGGTGAAAAGGTGACTGATGATACCTTGCTTGAGAACACATACTCAACATTCCACCCTAACAACGTGGTGCTTCAGCAACAATACTGTGGAATGAAATTAAAACATATGCAAGTTTGATCTCCTGCTTACTCCTTGCTGAAAGGAATAATGAGCTATTACTAATGAATAGCTCAATGAGACCTCCAGGATCCACACCGTTGCCGGAAGCCCATAAGGCCGAAATAGCCATAGAACCTCGAGAGACCAAAGAAACCAACTACGTCCATAGAGGATATCACGGCCGTGGCCGTGGTAGAGGACGTGGTGGTGGTCGTAGCAACCATAACTCCTACGGCCAAGGAAGCCATCATGGTGGTAGAGGCCGTGGGAACAATGGTCGAGGTCGTGGCCGCGGGATCTTCAAACCGCAACACAAGGCCAAGTCCGTTTGCCACAGATGTGGAATGGACAATCATTGGGCTAAGACGTGCAGGACATCTAAACATCTCATAGCTGCTTATCAAGAGATGATAAAGAAGAATCCCGAAGCAAATTTGGCTCATCTCGATGGTGATGGAGATTTCGACCATGAGAACGATGACCAATTGGAGTATGAGACTTCGGATTGCTTAAGAGAGGAAAATTAAATTCGACATCTAGTGTTTTAATTTGCTTTATGTTTTCATGCTCTATGTTTTTTGAATTCTATTATGTCTTGGATTTAAATTTAAGTTTAATTTGCTTTCAATATAATCGTTTGCTTTATTATCTAAGACATGTTTCTTGTCAATATTAGAAATGGCCGATGACAAGAACATACTTGTGGTGGATAGTGGATCGAGCCACACAATTTTAAAAGACAAAAGATATTTTATAAATCTAACATTGAAAAATGCCAATATTAGCACCATAGCGGGTATAGCTAGTCTTATTGAGGGCCACGGTCAAGCCCATATTCTTTTATCCAAGGGCACGCATCTTGAAATAAGCGATGCCCTATACTCACCCAGCTCGAAGAGGAGCTTATTAAGTTTCAAAGATATAAGATTAAATGGTTTCCATATTGAAACAAAGGGTGAAGGGAACAAAGAATTTCTAAATATAATTGAGATCACCCAAGGACATAAGAAATTCCTAGAGACTATACCCGCATTATCCACTGGTCTCTACTATGCTAAAATCGATATGATCGAAGCTAATATGGCAATGAACAAAGAGTTCATCGAGAAATTCACTTTATGGCATGACCGGCTTGGCCATCCGGGTCATAGTATGATGCGTAAGCTTATGATAAATTCAAGGGGGCACACCCTAAAAGAGAAAAGAGTTATCCCTAAAAATCTCACGTGTGAAGCATGTTCACAAGGGAAACTCATTATAAGGCCATCACCGGCTAAGGTAAATAAAGAGACCTTAAACTTTCTCGAAAGAATACAAGGGGATATATGTGGACCAATACACCCACCATGTGGGACATTTAGATATTACATGGTCCTCATTGATGCATCGACAAGATGGTCGCATGTTTGTTTATTATCCTCCAGAAACCAAGCTTTTGTTAGGTTGTTGGCCCAGATCATAAGACTGAGAGCCCATTTTCCAGATTTTCCGCTTAAGACTATACGTCTAGATAATGCCGGTGAATTCACGTCCTAAGCATTTAATGACTACTGTATGTCCATGGGGGTAAGTGTGGAACATCCCGTGGCACATGTACATACACAGAATGGATTAGCGGAATCCTTCATTAAACGAATTCAATTGATAGCTCGACCATTACTCATGAGGTCGGAGCTTCCAGTAGCCGCTTGGGGACATGCTGTTTTACATGCATCAGAGCTTATACGCATAAGGCCATCTAGTGAACATAAATATTCACCATCCCAATTACTCACGGGTCATGAGCCAGACATATCCCATCTAAAGACTTTCGGGTGTGCCGTATATGTACCGATTGCTCCACCACATAGAACAAAGATGGGACCTCAAAGGAGGATGGGAATATATGTTGGATTTGATTCTCCCACCATTATCAAGTATCTAGAGCCAACTACGGGTGATCTATTTAAGGCTAGATACACGGATTGTCATTTTAATGAATCCGAATTTCCTACTTTAGGTGGAGAGACGAACAAGCTGGTCGAAGAAATATCATGGAATCAAACATCCTTAAATTGGCAAGATCCTGGCATGTGAATCAGAGGTCCATAAAATAATAAATTTGCAAAAGCTAGCTAATGAATTGCCGGATTCCTTTGTTGACCCAAAGAAAGTTACAAAATCGTACATACCAGCTTGTAATGCACCAATACGTATTGATGTCCAAAAGGGAATCAATGAAGTTGCTACCGTGTCTAACGCACGTAAGAAACGTGGTAGACCAATAGGTTCCAAAGATAAAAATCCTCGAGAATCAAAGAAAGGTGCAATAGGAAACGAGGTTAAGGAAACCATAGACATGGCCGCGGCAGACCCTAAGGAACCGAATAGAGAGATTTGGGACGCCAATCCTCATGGTCCTGAAGGGATAGATAATAATGAGATCTCAATAAATTATATCATGTCTGGAATAAAATGGAACCGCAAAGATGTCGACATCGATGAAATATTTGCATATAAGGTAGCACTTGAAATGAATGAGGATCATGAACCCACGTCGATATTAGAGTGCACTCAAAGGTCTGATTGGCTAAAATGGAAAGAAGCCATAAACGTGGAATTAAGTTCATTAAAGAAAAGGGATGTGTTTGGTCCGATCATAAGGACACCATCCGAGATAAAACCAGTAGGACACAAGTGGGTCTTTGTGAGGAAAAGAAATGAGAATAATGAAATCGTGAGACATAAGGCACGGCTTGTAGCACAAGGATTCTCACAACGACCGGGGATAGATTATGAAGAAACATACTCCCATGTGGTGGATGCAACGACTTTTAGATATCTAATAAGTCTGGCTATAAGAGAAAATCTTGATTTGCGGCTAATGGATGTAGTGACCGCATACCTATATGGTCCACTGGATAATGAAATATATATGAGATTACCAGAGGGTATTGAGCTCAAAGGAAAAGATAAGAAAGGGTCACGTGACCAATACTGCATAAGGCTGAACAAATCGCTTTATGGACTGAAACAAAGTGGGCGCATGTAGTACAATAGATTAAGTGAGTACCTAGTCAAAGAAGGCTATAAAATGATCCCATCAGTCCATGTATTTTTATAAAGAAGTTTGCAAACAAAGGATTTGTGATAATAGTAGTATATGTGGATGATTTGAACATCCTTGGAACCTCTGGGGAAATCGCCCAAACAGTCGAATATCTAAAGAAAGAATTCGAGATGAAAGACCTAGGCAAGACAAAATTCTGTTTGGGATTGCAACTTGAGTACGTGAATAATGGAATCCTTGTGCATCAAAAGGCATATATTGAAAAGGTACTCAAGAGATTCAATATGGACCAGGCCCACCCATTGAGCAGCCCAATGGTGGTGAGAAGCCTTGGATTGGATAGTGATCCATTCGGTCCAAAGAAGGACGAGGAAGAAGTTCTCGGTCCTGAAGTGCCATACCTCAGTGCCATATGAGCGTTAATGTACCTGGCTAGCCACACTAGACCAGACATTTGTTTTGCCGTGAACCTCCTATCGAGATTTAGCTCATGTCCGACCCAAAGGCACTGGAACGGAATTAAACATCTTTTACGTTATTTACAAGGAACTGTTGATTTGGGTCTATTATATACTAACCATAACAAAGAAGGTTTAGTTGGTTTTGCTGATGCAGGTTATCAATCAGATCCGCATAATGGTAAGTCACAAACAGGTTATGTGTTTACACACGGTGGAACCGCGATTTCATGGCGTTCAATGAAGCAAACCATCTCAGCCACTTCATCCAATCACGCGGAGATCTTAGCAATACATGAGGCCAGCCGTGAGTGTGTGTGGTTGAGGTCGATGACTCAACACATACGATCTAATTGTGGCATGGACGATGAGAAGGGACCAACGGTCATGTACGAGGATAATGCGGCCTGCATCGCTCAGCTCAAAGAAGGTTACATCAAGGGAGATCGGACGAAGCACATCTTAACAAAGTTCTTCTTCACGCATGATTTACAAAAGGATGGTGAAGTTCAAGTGGTGCAAGTTCGTTCTAGCGACAATTCAGCCGACCTATTCACTAAGGCATTACCAGCATTGACATTGAGGAAGCTCACGCGTCAAATTGGAATGCGGAGACTTAAGGAATTTCAGGGATGACCAAAACAAGGGGAGTAATACGTGATGTACACTTTTTCCTTCACCATGGTTTTGTCCCAATGGGTTTTCCTGGTAAGGTTTTAATGAGGCAGCATCCCCAAGCGTATTACTGAGATCCTTTGGCATCTACACGGTTATGTCATCCAAGGGGGAGTGTTACACTACAAGAAAATCGAGTATTAATAACAACAGAAAAACGCTATGTAAAAATACAATAGCGTTATAGAAAACGCTATGTCATCGCCCGCGATAGTAGGTCTACCACTTTAGATAGCGCTTTTCTTCTTTGCTATCTTTTTTGAATAAATAATAGCGTTTTTATCTATGCAATTGTTATTAATAAAATAGCAAATATATTTTGCTATAAACTATTTTATCAATAGCATGTTTTGTAACTTTTTTATAGCAGTCAATATATATGTTATAATTCTTGTATTATCTATAACAATTATATTTTCTATAATAACGGTGAAAATATGTCATTGATTCATGTATTGTACAAAAAAAAAAATTTTAAATGTGTGATTTGCCAGATTATTGTTTTATCCAATTTTATTTATATTAAATCATTTTCATTATCTTTCAGGAAACAAATAACTATGTTAATTAAAAAAATAATCATGATACAAAACAATCCTACTACCGAAACTGCTATTCTTATATACCCAATAGGCCTATGAGCCCATATCGAAAAAAAAAAAAAAAAAAAACACAACGCAACTCTTGAACTTCTTCTTCTTCAGTCATCAAGCTTCCTCCTTTACCAAAGTAGCTACAGAAATCAACCAAACACAAACATCAACATCCAGAACTAATGGACAATGTGTTCCATCATGGAACAAAAAATGAAACTTTTTTTGGTTTAGTCAACAATACCCATATACGAACAGCAATGTGTATCTTCATCTCGCTCGGTTGCTGTAGATCTCCACTTGCAATGTTCGCCTGAATAGATTGAATAAAACATAAAATCAATTCAGATAAATAAATTTCAACGAGAGGTTGTGAGCACAAAATTAAAAATGCAAAGAAATTACCGTGATGGAAGAAAAGAGCCCGCGTCTCCATCTCGCTCGTTGCAGATTTCCTCTATCTGCAGTAACAAATCACTACTTATTAAAACATACAAAAATCAAGAGTGTTATAGAGTTTTTTTAAAAAAGCTTAATAGAATCCCTTAAACTAAATTTCAGAGAAGACAAATCTTTCTTTACCAGATCTTGAAGCAGCAATTGGCGACGACATGAAGAGTTCGATTTCAATTTCGCTGGAACTGAGACTTGGGTATCTTCAAGAGCAATTGGCAACGACATGAAGAACTCCTCCCTTATCTCCAAAGAAATTTCCCTTCTAAAAAGGGTACAAGACGAGGAGGAAGACGAAGCTACACTATGTCTATAAGGAGGGAGACTCATTAGGAGGAAGTAGAAGAGAAGCCTTACTGATTATCTATGGCGGCTGAGGCGAGAAAGAGAAAAAGAGGAGGAAAGAGACGAAGAGAAGAGAAGAGAAAAATAAAAATAAAGAATAAAACTTGTGTCCGTCAGATCTAATCTTATCAACGGTACATATTAAACCAAACTGTGATCCTCACCTTTACAGAATAGCCAATCAAAAGCCAGAGTTTATATTTTCATTTTGAATATTTAGCATGTTTGTTATTTTTTCTTTTTATTACTAGTAGATTACTTTTTTGATATGTGGTAAATTAATGTAAGACATATTATATTTCCTAAAAGAATTTCCAAATAATTTTATGGTCAACTCCATTTACAAGATAGTTATATTTTGGGTTAGAAGTTTAGGGTTTAGGGTTTGTGTTTGGGGTTTAGAGTTTATAAAATGATTATACTTATAAATTTTGAAAATTTTATAACTTAAATAAAACACTCATTAATCCATAAATATATATTATATTTCTATAGTTAATAACACTAAAAATATATATCTCAAATCATATACTCTTATGCCCTAAACCCCAAACCCTATACCCTAAACTCATTCAAAACCTCATTAACTTTCTATTTTATTTTTTTTCTTGAGAATTAGCCAAATTGTTTTTTACATGTGTCAATTTATATACCTTGTATTAAATATTCATCAATCCAAAAATAATTATAATTTATTAACAATAAATTTCGAAAAATATATTTTAAATCCTATACCTTACCTCAAACCCTATCTATGCCCTAAACTCTAAATCATAAACTCATTAATTTTATTTTTTTTATTTTATTTTTACTTCATTGAGAATTAGCAGAATAAATATTTTACAAGTGTGATTTATATTCCCAAAATGAAATATTCCTCAATCCGTAGAAAATTATATTTTTGCAATTTTATACCCTAAACCTCAAACCCTATCTATGCCCTAAACTCTAATCAAAACTCACTAAGATTCCTTAATATTTTATTTTGTATTTTGTAGTTTTTTAATTATTTTCTATTATATTTTATATTCTTCGTAAGAATTTGTTGTATTTTTTTTTCTTCATTGGCACATATCAAAAGTTGACTATTTTCGATTTCAAATGTAAATAATCAAAATTTAGAAAGAGAAAAAAAAACATCAATCCAATTTCAAACTTCTTTTCATCCTTTGGTGGCTTGCGGTTTTTGCTGTTCTTGGACAACATTATCTTCTTGATACAACAACCATCTTGGCATTGCCTTAATACGAGCACATCTTGCTTGAAGCTGCTTTTGTTCATATCTGAGATTGAAAGATTCAGAAACAGAAACCTGATTAGATTAGCATTTCAATCTAAGATTGAGACCAAAACACATCAACACAAGCTTAATGTTCAGTAACAAACAAAGTCTGATAACAATACAACTTGAGGAAGATAAGAAGCTTACACAGGGACGTGTGTGTGTGTGGTCAGTGATGTGATGTACTCTCAAATTAAAGCTTTAGTGATGTGATTACTTAAGGGCTTTACCATTATCCTTGGAGATGAAGCTTATATTATGTCATCTAGTGTTTGGTTGATTCCTGAAACGAAAATATTTATCAAAGTCAAGAAGAATACAAAGAATGTGAACAAATGCTTGAAAGCTTCTTAAGACCTTGAAAAAGCATCAGTAAACTCTTACATTAGGATGCATCAAATAAAAAATTATCATGATATACCATTAACAAAACGAAACAAGAATGAACAACTACGCAAGAGAAACACAACAAAGCAATTCAATTTCAATTCCACAACAACACCAGTCCAATGTAATCCAGAAAAAGCAAAATCAAGAAAACCCAAAAGCAAATATACATTCCAACAAATCGATCGATCCACATGGATCATCAAATCAAGAAGATAGATAAAATAGTGTCTTAGAAAGGGAACGTACCAGAGAGTATCATCAGGAGGTCCGATAATAGTTACACTCCATTTGAATATATTCTTCTCATCAAGTAGAACAGCGAGTATCCATCAACAAGATGCTTACAAATATCTGAACACATGCAAACAAAAATCGAATTCAATGACAGCGAACAACACCAAAACAGATTTCTTAAGTAAGATTTGCGGGGTTTAGTGTGTGTACAGTGTACCTTTGGGCAGTTTCTGAAGAAGAAGACAAGCTTGTGAGGTCATGGCAGATGATTTATAAATCGAGTTGGAGCTGCCAATGATCTGAGAGAGAAAGAGGAGGAAGATGGTAATTGATTTGAGAGTTCTATATGCAAAAAGCAATTGAGATTTAAAACTATCAGCACAAATCATGAATCTCAAATGCAAAATTTCAACTTTTGCTTACCAGCCTGTCATGAACTTCTTCGACGCCATGAAAAAGTTTGCAGAAAATAGCTAAAGCATCAGACCACAATTCAATTCAAGTCAATCCAATTCTACTGTTAATTTCACATGAATCTTGAAATGAGAAAACGAATAACAAGATTCTAGATCAGGTGAAAAGAAAACTAGACCTCGTGGCTGGATTGATGCGAAGAAGAAGAGGAAGAAGAAGATGGCCGGAATCAGCTACGGGAATCAAAAGCTCTCAATCTCTTTCACGATTAGCCATCACAATCGCCGGCTTCTCGTCTCCCATCGCCGAAAACTCAAGTCGGAGAAGAAGAAGAAAGAAGAAAGAAGAAAGAAGAGAGAAGAGATGGCCAAAGTAATTTAATCTAATTAATCTATTCTCTTCTAATTCTCTTTCTTTTTCTTTTTTAATTTATTTAGTTATTGTGTTATTACTTAGAAATTTTTTTTGGAGGCAATGAAATTTTCACTTTCCCGGTTACCTTTATAATAACGTTTTCATTGTTACTATGCTATCGTAAAACCAAAACTTAGGCGCCACTACGAAATATTTCCGCGGTCATCTTAACATAGCGTTTGCCATTTTAGAAACGCTATGAAAATTTTCTCGAAACTCAATTATAGCAGAACTATCAAAAACGCTATACTATACTGCTATTAATACCCTCATTTTCTGTAGTGTTATAAACCACATTAGGATGAACTCCATAACCGTGACCCATATTCTAGAGGGCCCATGTCCACGTTCTAGAAGACTTACTCAATGACGGTTTATGTTAGTCTTAGTGGGCTTTGGGCTTTAGAATTTCCTAGTCCAATTGAAACATTTGTTCGTTTTACCCTCTTCCAACTTGTTCGTTTGGGTTACTCAATGACGGTTTATGTTTAATATATATATGTTGTAACTCCATTCATTAATGATAAGAATACACGAGATTCGTAACATTGGACCATTTCTTTTTCTTCTTTATCAAAAATCTTCTCAGCTTCCTGGAAATTCTCGTTTGCTAATAATAGCCAAAAATAATTTTACGATCAACCGTAAACCGTTAACGCTATCACCACCACCGTCATTATCTCCACCACCGCTACTTGTCACCGCAACCTCCGCTACTGCCACCGTCATCACCATTGCCATCGCCACCACCACTACCGCTACCTCCGTAATCGCTCCACCCAACACCACCGTAATCAACATCACCATCGCCACCGTTATCGGCACCATCACCCCACCGTCACCACCACCACCACCATCATCTCCACCACCGTTACCACTGTTATCGCAACCACTGCTACCGCGACGACCATTGTCACTACTCACTGCCGCTACAATTGTAATCGCCACCACCCAACACCACGGCCATCACCATCATCACGCTGTTTTCTAATTCAATTTCTTATGTTTATCTACCATTATCTTTTTCATAAGCTATTCCAATTGATCTAACATTTGTTCCTTAATTAAACATTTGTTCGTTTTACCCTCTTCCAACTTGAATCCACCCAAGTCATATCACAAATCATAGTTTGATATTTGATAATTGATCGATTGCATTCAATATAGAAAAAGAGATGGATATTGATTGGATGAGAATGAACAAGAGAAGTAAAGAAGACGAGAAGAAGAAAATCAATTTTTCAATAGATTTGTCTCAAATAGAATAAGTATTGTAAGTTTATGGAAAATAATTTTATTTTTTTAAAAAAATGGTTTTTACATCATATTTATGTTTACAAATATTGATTTAAGTTCATAATTTTTTTTTGTTTGAAAAATTGATTTTTTGCTCTTTGTGTTGATATTTTCACATGAGTTCAAGTAGAGATTTTGGTTATCTTTTAGGTATAACATCCTTTATACGACGTGTGTTTAATTCGGCAAATTATGTTTTCTATATTGTATATTTAAGGTATGATATTTTTTTGTGCGTTTAACTTGGTCGTTTGGGTTCTCTATGTTGTATCACTTAGGGTATATTGTTCCTTTTTTGTCACGCGTTTAATTCAGTATTTTGTATTCTTTGTTATCGTCACCGTACTATATAGAACACTAAAATGTTATATTCAATTTTTTCTAAATAAATTCACTATTTTAATTTTTATATTTATTAATACCGTTTTTAGATATATGTTTTGGGTTTGGGTTTAGACTTCTGGATTTAGGTTTTAGTATTTTAGAGTTAAAAGTTAATTTTAAGTATAATATATAAGATATAGTAAAGTATTATATCTATTTTTGTGTGATTTATGTATATTACATATTGTATATTTAAGGTATGATATTTTTTTGTGTGTTTAACTTGGTCGTTTGGGTTCTCTATGTTGTATCACTTAGGGTATAATGTTCCTTTTTTTGTCACGCGTTTAATTCAGTATTTTGTCCGACACTATATAGAACACTAAAATGTTCTATTCCATTTTTCTAAATAAATTCACTATTTTAATTTTTATATTTATTAATACCGTTTTTAGATATATGTTTTGGGTTTGGGTTTAGACTTCTGGAATTAGGGTTTAGTATTTTAGAGTTAAAAGTTGATTTTAAGTATAATATATAAGATATAGTAAAGTATTATATCTATTTTTGTGTGATTATGTATATTACAATATATTTTTAGTTATAAACATTATTTATTAGGCATTGTGGATACTACCATCACCACTATGTTAATCATTAGCATTTTGTTTGCTTCTATACTATTTCTTTTGTGTTTTATATAAACTAAGTTTATTAATTTATTTTTTACTTTTATAAGTTTTGGTCGGTTTTTAGAAATCCAAATCATAATATATAGAGAAAAAAAAGACCAGAGTTTTTTTCTATAAAAATTATAAATTTAAATTAATGTTTTCAAACACTAAATATAATGTAAAAATCAAATGGGGTAGAAATAAAACAAATATTAAAAAGAAGAAGCAATTAAGCTTTTTTCTCTCTCTCACAACGTCCCCTCTCTTTTCTTCCTCCTCCTTTGCGCATGTCTTACACCTAAGGTGTGTTTTGTCTTTTCACTACGTATTATGGTTATTCTCTTAATTTGGACTTTAGTATGCTATATTCTTCCTTTCGTTTATCAAAATGGCCACTCACCTAATTGCCCCTATAAATATTTTGTATTAAAATATAAATATTTGGAATTTCTATGTCAACGAATAAGGTGAAAAAAAAAATGATTTTTGGGACAGTTTTTATATATTTAACTGTTATGAAATGCTTTAATTGTCGTGTTTGATAGGGGAAGGTTGCTGAAAAGTAAATTATTCATTTAAATGTTTGAAAGATAAATAAAAATGAAAAAATAATGGTTTAGTTTTTACCTGGAAGACGGGTTTTGTTTAGAATGAGTTCATTGGAATTAAAGAAATTTTCTACGACTGTCAAACGAACAATTTTTAGTCACAGTCGCAGCAATCGCAGGCCTCTTGCGACTGCCAAACGAACAACACCATAATTAATTAATGAAATTTTGAAAAGAAAAGAAATTTAAGAAAATCGAAGGTTAGTCTGTACCCTGGCTTTGTTGAGATGAAGCCCATTAGAGTTATATCGGTCTTTTTGGTAAATAAAGAAATCATTTCCTAAAACATTACAAATAAATTTATTAAAATTTTGGAAAGAAGAAAATATAAAATATGAAAGAAAAAAAGGAGGGACTACCGAGGGATTCTTTTTGTTGGTTTATCTTTGAAGATACAAACTTTAAGAAATTCATTTCAATAGAGCTTCTTTCTTCCTTTTGTTATAAAACTATAACTCAAACATATATATATAATATAATAATATATATGTATAATCAAAGAAAGGAAGAATAAAATGTAGAGAGAAGAGGAGCAGACGAGTGGGAGACGAGAAGCAAAATACAACTTTCTCTCTACATCTATTACATCTCAAAGTCATGGGTATATATATAGCTAGAAAACTTGGTGAGCGAATGCCTTGCATCCCAAGCTAGATATGGATAATATATATATATATATATATATATATATATATTATTTGGATGGATAATTATATATTTTTTAACACTCCCCTTTAATTATCCATCATTATTAACGTATTGCGTATTGTCTCGTTAAAAAACTTTATCATGGAAAAATCCATTGGGATAAAAACCATGATAAAGGAAAAGATTACAGTAACACAATCTCCCCGTGGAACAGACGAGTCTTGTTCTCTTTAGAGTTTCGTAGGTGATGCATCTTGATCATTCTCTTCTCTTCTTTTGATCTCGTCAATATATGACAAAGATTTTGGAAGAGAGATAGACTTTCACTTTGATGTCTATCTTTTGCGTGTTATTTGCTGCCTCGTTAAAAACCTTGTCATGGAAAAACCCAGTGGGATAAAAACCATGATAAGGGAAAAAGAGTACAGCCACGCTCATCATAATATGTCTCGTCCTGGAAGCATCATCTTCAAAAAATGCATTTCGATTTGTGAAGATACTTTCTGAATGTTGTAGCAGGAAGCGCCTTTGAACTGAAACTGCTACATTGTTACTTGGCCGGATGTATCGAACATCAACTTCCTGATTCTTCTCAGATTCTTGAGTGCATGAGAAGAATCTTGGGGGAACATGTCTTGTCATATCGATCTTGACATAGCTTCATTTGAAATTGGCAACATATGCAACATTGTGTTCAAACAATGTTGTTGGCTCTTCACTGGTAACTATATTGCTTGCTTCTTGTATATGTTGAGGGCATCAATCTGACCCATACATATTTTTGACGTGCTTCATGGAGCGCATTAATTTTGGTATGGCTTGAACAAGCGACGACCAAAATTTGCTGTTGGAAACGCCATGAAGTTGTTGTTTTGCGATATAGATTTATATAGATTTGATATAGATCCTCCATCTGCAAAACCAACTAAACCAAACTCGGGGTTTCTAGAAAAAAAAGTAAATCCAGGTCAATTGTACCTTGCAGATAAGGGAAGACACATTTGAACTCATTCAATGTCTAGTCGGAGGAGATGAATTAATCCTGCAAGTAGATCAATAGCAAATGCTAGGTACAATTCACAAGATATATAAATGCTCGTCAGCATTTATATATGCTAGCTACAATTCACAAAATATATAAATACTCGTCAGCATTTATATATAATGCTTCATGATCAAATATATAGAGTCGACTTTCCTTAGAAGTGACTAATATAACATCTCTTTCTTTGGATGTTTAGTTCGAATATCTGGAGACACTTTTGTCTTTCCAAGATCTTTTATTCCAAATAACTCTTCAAGAGTTTTGATGATGTTTTAAAATATCATGCTTATAAGTTCCCGGGAATATAACTATTCTATCGTAAATCTTTCAAGGATTAGTCCTACAGACATCCCATGAGGCGCAAT